TCACATGTTTTTTTTTATACTCCAACTACCACTAAGGCCTAAGGCCTAAACACCCATTGGGTAACGTGGGGCTATAGGGGGATACAGGGGAAAGGGGGAACGCCACACGGACTCTGGCGAGGGAACACGTGTGCTTGCAACATGCACACATTCTGGCTCCGCCTACGAGATCCGCCGGGTGGTACCTCCACGTTCGACAGTCAGAGACCGTCTACCACCTACGGACAATCACAACATCCATAGCCAAGATAAAAATTTCTCCTTGGACGGGACTCGAACCCACACAGCGCACGGCGACTGATCAGGAGACCGAAGAGTCTACTACTGCGGCCACCGCTGCTGCCTATGTCTATCTTCAATGATGAGTTTGCGCACAGCATCGACGTTTTCCTGGGTGACTGCCGTTTTTTGTGCACCTACCCTGGGATCGTTGCTAAGACCCACCCGCCCACGTTTGAATTCTTCATACCAACGGCAAATTGTCGACTGATGTGGCGCTTCGTTGCCGAAAACAGACTGTATTTCAGCAAGGTGTTCTTGTTGCGATAATTGTCTCTGAAAGTTGTAATAAATTATGGCGCGAAAATGTTCTCAGTTGAGTTCCATTTTTCTAATGACTTGGTGACGCTTAAAAATTCACTGTAGTGAGAACACTGCACGTATTGTTGTGAAACTTTGAATTTAAGCTTACTAAAGAGTGAGGTTAAGATTCAGTACTGACGTTCGATCCGCGCGGCCTACTATGTTTCTATATGCAAAACTTAAAAGACATCCCTGGTAGCTTAAAAGTTCTTGATAGTCATAACAGGCAAAAAAGGAGCAAAAAGTTGAGATTTTTTGAAAAAACTCAAAAGTGGCAATATCTCGAAAACTAGAAGACTTTTACTTTTATCTGATTGATCTGAATCCAATCTCTCGTGTCACTCTGACGTGCTATTTCTGGCACACCCTGTAGTGTTATAGAAGAAGAACCTTCGCGTTCAGACACCCAATTTCAGTGTTCGTAGAATTTGTCGATATTCGCATGCTTCGATGCAATAAAAATCCTAATCCGATTACTTTTGATATTACAATTTATTTGGGGGTGTTATTGATTGTCCTGGTAATTGAATGTGTCACGAAAATCTCCGAAAATCACACCGCGCTCGCCATTCCCGTTCGCTGTTTGCGATAAATAATTGGAGTCATTTCCACGTGGATTTATTGGAAGATCGATTATAGTCCCTACCGTCTTCACGTAAAATCTAAATATGAATGATAGAGGTTGATGTAACATCTTTGGAGATACCAGATGTACACGTCAATCAACTTTTTGTCAAACCTGTCTTTTTCCCCCATTTTGCTATCATTGTGCGAGAGCATATTAACGCAGTATTTCAACAGCGGTGAATTAGAAGACAGAAGTCCGTTTCCATGCCCTTCACGATCACCAGACATATTTTGTCTTGATTTTTATTTATGGAAACGGTTAAAGGAGATCGTGTTTCAGACTCAACGTACAACCAGAGAAGATATGAAAGACCGGATTCGTAATGCATACCGAGAGCCGAAATTGTCGCTGCAGATTTGTCTACCCATGGGAGGCTTCAGGAATTCGGGCAATTACGGGAGCAATTTTTTTTAATCTGTTCTTTTTTGGGCCACAAGCTGATAATGAAAATATATTCCAAAAAATTAGTTTGAAAAATAAAAATTTAACACGTTGAGCACGGTGTGGCATTGAAGTAATGCCTCACCGACTATAGTCAACGCCAAACAAAGTGGCGTGCACGTCATCAAGGTGGGTGTGTTGAAAAATTTACATTGTTGCCAAACTTTTTGTAAAATAATAAAATTTATTATTTACATATCTAGGTTTATAAGCAATATTAACCTCAAATGAGAACAAAAATAATAGTATAATAAAATTATAGATCTGTACTTGCATAATCATTAAGTATGACAATTATTGATCAGATGACACTATGAAACTACCATATTTAATTGACAGCTTAAAGGTACTGAATAAAAATCCAAATGGGGTCCTCCAAATTTTATGCATGGTATTTATTTTACAGAATTCATACAGAAAAATGCATTCTAAAATTAGGTAAGCTACTGGTGTAAGCTTTTTCTGTACAATAAAGTTAGTCGGAGTTTCTTTCTTCAGCGCTGTCTGAATCTGAATCTTCATCACTCTCAAAGTTGATTATTAAAGGTTCGATGTCTGGTCGATCAAAAATTCGTTCTCTTTCATACCATTTAAAAATTTCTTGCTCAGTATGTCGAACACTATTTTTCCACATGTCTGGGGTAACCGTTTGTAGAGCCTCGTTCCACATATCCAAACAGTCTTTTTCACTGTTACCATCTCTACCAATATGTCTGTTATAGTAACCTTTTGCTATGCCCCAAATTAACTTAATAGGGTTAAATATACAATGGTAAGGAGGCAGACGAAGAACTTTGTGCCCATGTTGTTCCGCCAATTCATCAATCACGTATATTTTAGGTGGTTTGTTTCTAAAAAAGCAGTTACTTTAAGAATAGGAATAAACAAAAGAAATATAAACTGTCGACCAAAATATATATAATTAAGAAGCATTATGTACCGAGCAACAATACTCAATAGCTCTGTTTTAAACATTGTGTTTAAAAATGGTATGTTTTGATTTGTCAACCAGTCTTGGATATTTTTTTTTGTCCATGCATTGTTGGGCACTTTGTTCAATATCATGCCGTGATAAGGGGCGTTATCCAGTATAATCATAGATGGACTCTCCAATTTTTCTAATAACTGATGTTGAAACCATTTCAAAAAATTGTCCTGGTTCATCTCTCCATGGTAATCGCTCAATTTTGTTTTCGAAGAAAATATCGCTTCACTACCCTCAATAAACCCATTTTCATTTCCAGCATGTAATATAATGTATCTAAAATATATTAGTTTTAAATTTTATAGTGCAAATTGTGTAAAAGTACATACCTTTTACCATCTGTTTTAATAGCTTTCACGCTTTTTTGGTTTCCATTTTGCCAAGAGCGACCTATGGTCCCATTTTGAAATATCCAAGTTTCATCGAGGAAGACAAACTGGTATAAGGCCTCAACCTTGGCTTGATTGTATTGCCTTAGAAATTCCACCCTTTTCAAAGCTATACTTGGTAGTTCCATGAGCCCTCGTCGCGGATTGTCCTTAAGCCACTTAAATCCAAGATCTCTAAGCAACCGCCTTAAAGACGTGGCACTACCATCAAATAATGCCCTATCTCTTAATCGAGACCATAAAGTTTGTATCGTAACTTGTTCTTCTGAAACCATGTGTAATATCACATTATAATTTAGTTAACAAATTAATGCAAATTTCTGATAAGTTATTATAATAAGATCTTACTTTTGTGATACATATTATAGATCACTTCTCGAATGGCACTTGTATCCAATGTCGCTGTGTTGGTTACACGTTTAATATAACTCCGCTTTTTCTTGGGCGATTCTAAATTTGCATCACTTTTCACACCCTCGGAAATACGACTAACTGTCCTTAAACTAATTTTTAAAGCAGCAGCAGCACGCTACAAAAAATGAAATAAAATTTCACTATTATTAATATACATTACATATAATTATTAGTAACTTACCTCTTGAACAGCATTTAAAGGCAACAAAGGCCCGTTGTTGTCCCTTTCTTGCTCAAAGTAGTGCATTAACGAGGCCACGAGTTCCTTACACCGACTATTTAACTGTTTGGGCATCTTTATATACCAAAATTGCCTTTATCTACTCGTAAAATGAATAATTTTGTTTTGAAACAAACAGTTGTTGATTTACAGTATGCGGGGCCAAAGGATTTATAAAGATTTGAAATGCCACAAATTGATTCAGTGTCAAAATTAATACAAATGTCAGTTCCCAGTTTAAATAAGTTTCAAGGTGACAATGTGTCAACGCTGCGAAATCGGTTTAGTGCGTTTACATGTCGATAAGTGATTGGAGCGTTTGCAAAACATTTTATTTCGCATAATGCGTCTAAATTTATCAGACAGCAACTTATGTGATATTTTAATAACAATGTTTATATGACTATTAACCATAATAAGAGAGTAATGACCATTTTACAATTTATATATCACATTAATATGAAACTGCAATAGAGCAATTGTTTGTGATAGAAACCTAGGCATTAGGTCGGGGAATTTTTATCGTGATGACGTGCACGCCACTTTGTTTGGCGTTGACTATAGGTAATCTAGGGACGGTGAGACATGACAATATCGTCTCATGTTAAATATTGAATAAGACGGTGTGGTTCGGTGTAGTGTCTCGCTATAATGCCAAATGAATGGAAAACGATAGTTAGCCGTCTATACGAACGTTTTCTGTTATCCGGCTGCGGATATTTGACTAAAATACTATGTTATAGATAGCATACAATTTTATTTCAATTTAGAAAATATAGTTACAGTAAATATAACAAAATGAAATGCAATAATATAAAATAAACGTATATTCTACAGCTAAGAAGTGCAAATCAACTTATATAATGTGGTTTAAAAATAATATAATGGTATTTAAAATGTTAGTCCAATTTCTCAGCATGATGGGTTTCAAAAAACACGGGATACAATAGCTCTTGTTACAAGGAGTGCACTGAAATTTAGTCCTCGGTGTTTTGCTTTGCGCTTCTTTTCGACTAAATTCCTCCTTAGCTTTGGCATAACATTTCACACATCTATTTTTCGCATACTCTTGAAGCTCGTGTTTTGGATTTCTTTGATTTGGTTCATTAGGTTTGTTATTTACACCTAGAAGTGATAATGCTAAAAGCTCCCTGAATTCCGTAATTTGAATTTTATTTTGTGTTACTTCTTTATAACAAATAAATGCATTGACCAATGTAGAACCAAAAATTAATTCAATTGCTAGTTTCCGGTACCATTTGTTGCCCCTTCTAAGGCAATGTGAATAAGTTTTTAGCTGATCTGACAAGTCAATATAAGCTTTCGATGTATTGTAATCAACTATAGCTTGCGGTTTTTCAATTTCTTTTCCACGCTGATGATTTCATCAGTGTGTACTGTGGTCAATAGTAACACATCACGAGTATCTTTCCATTTGAGCATTACAATGCCGGTACCACTCTCCTGACCCATTACTTCATGTTTTTTCAATTTTTTATTCAATACTTCTTTTGGGTTTCCTTTTCTATTGGACCTCACTGCTCCTACGAGATGCGTTTTTCTTTGTAACAATTGGGTAGCCAATGAAACACTGGTATAATAATTGTCAGTGTAAAGTATCCGTCCAGTGTCTAAAAGCTCACTCATCAAAGACATAACAACGTTAGATGATGCATTGCCTCCACCTGAGTTATCAAGTCCACAGTATATTTTCAAATTAAATGTATAACGTCCGGTAGTACATAACTTATACAATTTTATTCCAAATTTATTTTTCTTATTTTTTATATATTGCCTGAATCTAAGGCGACCACGGAATGGGACGAGGGTTTCATCAATGCATACATCAGACCCTGGTTTGATGATCATTTGAAATCTATCCAATAATTTGTTCACTAAAGGTGTCAGTTTTCGAAGTCTGTCGTTTGCATAACTTTCATCTTCGTTATTGTTGAAATGCCACATTTTCGATAATTGTCCAAACCTATCTCGGGCCATGGGTTCTTTTACTTTGTTTATGTATAAAATGTTAGTGCTCCAATAAGCTTTTAGACGTGGAAGTTTCATAAGTCCCATCCACAATATAATTCCAAGAAAATTTTCCATTTCTTGGCTTGTAGTAGGAACTCATTTTTTCACATGTCCTTTGGCCGTCGGTTTTTCCTTTAGTACTTGCTCAGCATAGAGGTTTGTTTGATATACCATATATTCTATTATCTCATCAGTAATAAATAATTTGAAAAAATCATAGGGCTCCTGGTCATAATTTTCATAAAATTCAGGCTTTATTCCAATATCAGCTTCAGCAAAACCAAAATGTTTGAGTGATGAACCGTCAACAGGACCCCAGTTTATATTGTCACCAGAATCAGGAGTCTGCATTTCTTCATCTTCGCTTTCAATTGCATATTGAGAAATGACATCTTCTATTACATTTTGAATCTGAAACAAAATCGTTTAAATCCTCGAGAATATTTTAATTTTATGAATCATTCCAAATGTGGAAAAAGCGAGTATTATTGTCAATGTAAAAAAGTAATAACGTGAAATTTTTCCTATGGATGTCAAAAAACCTGATCTAAAAAAACTGCCCATATGTAAATATTTCAAGTAATAAGAAAGTAAAGACAATTTGTGAAAAATCTGCCGAAAAATCAATAAATAAAAAACTTTTTCAGCGGGAGTCGGAATTTGAGAATACTCTGTCATTTTTTTTTTATAAAATCCCTCTCCCAACCAGGCAAAATATGACTTATTACCACTTATTTACTAATTTGTTCAGGGAAGACGTGCATACTACTAAATAAAGATGTCTTTATGATTACCGTGTCTTCCGCATCCACGCTTATATTGTGCTCTGCAGTATATGGACCTGCTGCATTGTCTCCCAAGTCTTTGATTGAAGTTTTACGTCTCTTTGCACGCTCCACTAAAATATCGTTGTCACTGGATGTCTCTTCGTCTGACTTAGGTTTATATTCATCTGATAAATATACGTCCCCAAATTCACTTATATTACTCTCATCATCGGACATACACTCTTCCCACAGCTTCTGTAATGCTGCTTGCTCACGTTCGTAACTACCCATTTTTATCTAATGCTTACCCTTCCACGTAAACAGAGCTAATAAATTAGCATCACGCCGAAATGCGCTCAACTCCAGTAACATAATCATACAAGATTAGACCTGCAAAACATGGCATCACGTATATGTCTCACCGTCCATACGCACTGGTTTGAAGGTAAAGACGGCGAGACATAACTGTGATGTCACGTGTAATATATTTTTTTAAATTTCAAAGAAAGTCATATTTGCAAATAAAACAATATATATTACACATTAAAGACTTAATTTCACCGAAAGAAACTCAAAAAAAAATCCCGTCCCTGAGACTCAATTTTTTGCACTCTACATCCGTACTCAACGTGTTAAGGGATTTCCGTATGCAATTTTCTTTGGCCTGAATTTGATCTACCTTTTTTCCATGTACTATTGACAGTTTTATCACACAATCGCTGCCTAGCCCGAGCAAAATTGGAGATCGCTGGCATCACCTTGATGAGCATCAAAGTGTTTCAATACTCAAACGTTATACAGGGTAGAGCGACTTGTAATGTCACGTATTCCTGTTAAGGGGTGATAGATTAGGTCAAAAGCAACCGATTTTGTCCTATAATGTCCTATCCAGAAGTTAAGCGTTTTGGAGTTATTTGAATTTTATTTTTTTTTATTTTTTATTCCGATATCAGATGGTTAAATTTGAAATACAAAAAAACTACATGTTTGAGTTTTTTGTTATCGTCGCGTAGCGGACATTCCAATAGTTCATCGTAAGTAATATAATGTTGAAAACTTACAACAGTTTTAAAATTACGCTTTTGAAATGTATGATTTTCTTATTTTTTTACTAACTTATTCGATAAAAAATGCAATTTTTTGTAAAAAATCTCCTAGTAATGAAATGTGCAAATTATGTAAATAATATCTCTTTCTAACAAGCTTTCATTTGAAGTATAAAAGTTACAACTAACTCAAGTACAAAGACATACAATTAAATAAGATGAGTACAGTTGTACGTACGATAATTACGTAGGATAAATAAAAGGCTTTTATTTTAATTACAGGTTTATTTAATTACATTTCCTTAAGCATTTTACAGATTCTGCTCAAATTGTAATCCCCTGTTACGAATACATGCCCGCGTTCTCTTACGTAATTCACTTTTGGTAACTCTAGTTGTTAAGCGGCTTTTTATTTGGTCAGCTGCACTGATTATCCTTGTAATTAATTCATCGCGCGTTGGTACAGGCGAAACATCGTACACCAGGCTTTTTATAAGTCCCCACACATAGTAATCCATCGGTGTGAGATCTGGGCTTCTTGCTGGCCAGGCAATGAGCCCGCCTCTGCCAATCCATTGATTTGGAAATTTAGAGTCTAAATGCGCCCGTACTAATCTACTCTAGTGTGCGGGACAGCCGTCGTGCTGGAACCGCATATTTTGTCTCGTCGCCTTCTATTAATGGAAACAAGTGATTTTTCAAGAACTCTTCATACACTTCTCCATTTAAATTGGCGGGCAAAAAATGAGGTCCAGTTAAATATCCATCAATGATGCCCATCCACACATTGACTGATAACCGGCTCTGAGACCCCGTCGGTCTTATTTTTCGGGGGTTTAAAGCTTCTTTATCAGCCCAGTAATGAGCATTATGGTAGCTGGTGATACCGTCCTTATCAAACTTCGATTCATCGGTCCACAGAATTTTCTTAAAATAGTCTGGATCTTCTGTATCTGCATGTAACATGTACCTGCAGAAATCTAATCTTCTTGCAGGATCGTTCTCTTCAATCACATGCACAGGCGTGTAGTGATAAGGGTATAATCTTGCAGTATGCACAGTAAACCATACTTTGTATTGTGATATACCCAACTGAGCAGCCACAATGCGCGTAGACGTAGTAGGGTCTTCCTGAAACACACGAAGGATTTCCTCTTCATCTTGAGGAGGATAGACTCGGGGTCGACCAGCATCACTATGTTGCCTTTGAACACGTCCGGTTTGGCGGATGCGCCGATACACAGAGTCAAATACAGTAACATGAGGTGTTCGGCGATTCGGGAAACGTTGCCGATATTCACGGCGGGCAGCTGCAGAATCACCGTTACAAAGTCCATAACAGAACATTATGTCCGCGTATTCTTCATTTGTAAAAGTTTGCCCGTGATCGCTATGGCGAGGTCCTGGCGGATCTTCTGCGTCTGCCATGTTGATAAAGAAACCACTCGAAATGAACTGGGAAACTCGAAAATAATAATCGTGCGTGAAACGTGTGCGCGTACGCAGTAGTTGATACCAACTAAACCTAAGGGTAAAGACAAACAGAGCTGTTTCTTCAGCGGTTTATGTAGTGATCCATTCGATTTGCAGAATGGATGACGTATTGTGTTTATCGCTACTGTATTTGTATTGGAAAATTAGTAAAAAGAAAAAAAGGAATAGAAGAATGTGGATACATCCAATCATCGAAGAAAGGCAGCGAAAAGGTCATTTTCATACATTGTTTGCTGAAGTACAAAGAGATGAAGAAAAGTTTTTTTAACTTTACTAGGATGTCGCGAAGTACTTTTTACGAGTTATTAGCAGTTTGTGGAGAAAAACTGGCAAAGAAAGATACACGTATGAGAAAGCGATAACATCAGAAGAAAAACTAGTAATAACTATGCGGTAAGCAAATAAATTAGGTAACTGTTTCTCATTTTATTAAAAATTTATTCCACAATCTTTCATACATTATAAGAGTATATTTATTCAATTCATATTAAATATACTAAACTGGGAATCATCTTCCGAAAAGTGGGAATAATAGCTTCTAACTGATTCAGCTGGTGAAGGAGCTGGAGGTAGTGTGGAGTTTATCTGTTATTTGGCGGCATTCTGAGATACTCCATACTGCTCTTGTGGATGTTGTACAAGTCCTGACTGACTGGGACAGTTACCTAATTTATTTGCTTACCGGATAGCTATTACTAGTTTTTCTTCTGGTGTTATCGCATTTCTCATACGTGTATCTTTGCTAGTTTTTCTCCACAAACTGCTAATAACTCGTAAAAAGTACTTCGCGACATCCTAGTAAAGTTGAAAAACTTTTCTTCATCTCTTTGTACTTCTTCGATGATTGGATGTATCCACATTCTTCTATTCCTTTTTTTCTTTTTACTAATTTTCCAATACAAATACAGTAGCGATAAATACAATACGTCATTCATTCATTCATTCTGCAAATCCGCGATTTACATACAAGATCTCTGACCACAACATCGAAGCAGTTTCGAGCCACACTGATCTGGGCGTTGTAGTCAACGATCGTCTTTCCTGGTCAGAGCATATTCACCACGTTACATCAAAAGCCAAGAAACTTCTATATATGCTGGAGAGCTCTTTCAAAGGATCCGATGTCAACACTTGCGCCTACATTTACAAGGCATTCGTGAGGCCAATTCTTGAATTCGCTGGCCCGGTATGGGACACTGTGCTTCTGCGCGATAGAAATCTCGTCGAATCAGTACAGCGTCGGGCTACTCGTATCCCTTTTGGAGCACGAAGACCAAGCTATGAAGATCGCCTTGAATTATTCAACCTGACCTCATTCTCTGAGCGAAGACTTCGTGGCGATCTTATAGTTACGTTCAGGATACTTCATGGTTTGATGGGCACCAACCTCATCCATCTATACCATCTGTCGCGCAGCATAATTTGCACATTTCATTACTAGGAGATTTTTTACAGAAAATTGCATTTTTAATCGAATAAGTTAGTAAAAAAAGATAATGATACATCTAAGAAAGTGATACATTTAAAAAGAGTAATTTTAAAACGTTTGTAGCTTTTCAACATTTTATTACTTATTATGAACTATTGGAATGTCTGCTATGCGACGATAACAAAATGATATGGACAAAATCGGTTGCTTTTGACCTAATCTATCACCGCTTAACAGGAATACGTGACATTACAAGTCACCCGTATAGTTACGGAGTATTTATTTTAAAAGTCTCTACTATCTACCGAACGCTCAATGACAAATCAGCTTTATAAATAATCAAGTGTAGCACATCATTAGCAAACATATGAATATGAAAAGTACACTAAAGGATCGTTGTTTTTATAATTAGTCATGTAAGCAGCCATTCATAAAATTCAAGCGACACTTGCCAAGAATGTTTCAGCAGTCAAAGAAAAGCGTTGTATGTTATTATCGTGTTGAACGCAATATAATGCCACAACTAGGTTATAGCTATTTATGTTTTATGTATTCATCAATTTGTTCATGATGTGGATGTAGAATTGCTTTACAAATACGGATCAATCAAGAAAATAAATTTAAATATGTGACAGGCCGAGAAATACGCAAAGATTTAAATTTAGCGGATATACCAAGAATAAATGGACACTGACTCAGTGTAGCGTGTAGTCTGCATTCACCCAGAGCTCGTAGTTCTCAACTACGCACTTAACAAAATGTTATACGAGGGATGTCTTTTAAGTTTTGCATATAGAAACATAGTAGGCTGCGCGGATCGAACGTCAGTACTGAATCTTAACCTCACTCTTTAGTAAACTTAAATTCAAAGTTTCACAACGTTACGTGCAGTGTTCTCATTGCAGTGATTTTTTAAGTGTCGCTCAGTCATTAGAAAAATGGAAACCAACCGAGAACATTTTCGCGCCATAATTTATTACAACTTTCAGAGACAATTATCGCAACAAAAACGGCAGTCACCCAGGAAAACGTCGATGCTGTGCGCAAACTCATCATTGAAGATAGACGTGTGACATATCGCGAGATTGAGGCGTCCTTGAAGATCTCAAAGACCTCAATTCACAAAAATTTACATGACGAATTAGGAGAAAGAAAATTAGTTTCTCGTCGGATACTCCACGTGTTGACTGAAAAGCCGAAAGCAACCAGGGTTAATTGGTGTCAATTAAATTAAAATTGGTTCGAGCGCATGCAGATGTGTATTAATCTTCGTGGAGAATACTTCGAAAACCAATAAAGTCATTTAAAACTACCTGCCGTGTTGTTTTATTTCCATATGCAAAACATCCCTCGTACCCACAGAAATAATTGCCTATCGAGATGTCGGTTTGTCCTATCGCGAAATTGGCCGCCGTGTTAATAGTACTGCAATGACGGTAGTTCGTGTGAGTCGTGTGTGGATAGAAGAAGGTAGAGGAACACGAAAGAGGCCAACTGATCCACCGAGGCGTAACTACATGAAATTGAAGCAATTATTTTTTCTGGGTGCAACACAAATGTCACTGAGTATATAAACAAGG